GTCAACGGCCCCCCGAAATCAATGCCTACTTTTTTAAATGGACGAGCTATCGATACCCGGTCTGGTGGTAGTGCACCCATAAATTGAGTGGCTCCTTTCGCCTTTAACCTGTGACAGATCACACATTCATTCACAACTGATTTGACTCTTCCCAATCCATGAATTATCCAATACCTTAATCTTAAGTTTGCCAACACTGTTTGAGGACCAGCATGAAAAAGTTTGGGATGTTCGAATCGAATTAACAACTTGACTGCATAATGATGTGCTGGTAGAATGATAGGAAACTTTTGATCACATTCTACCTTTGCGTTAGCTATCCTTCCATTAACCCGTAAAATTCCCTTTTTATCGAGAAATGGATTTACATGCTATTATGTGACTATCTTTAAAACTAGCCTGTAAATTAACAGATGATTGCAGTTGTTTTATTTCCTTTTCAAAGCTTTCCAATTGAATTTGTTTTATAATGGTATCATGAGCTTGTTGTAAATCGTCATTGCTTTGTGGCTCCGTACTTATCTTTAAAAATGTATGACAATATGACACTGCCCGATGCAGTCTCAAAAAATTTGAAAAATTATTCCACTTAATAACATTTTCTACAACTGTCTGAGTCATTGCCACCCTTTCGCTGTGTTCCGGAATAACTGTAACATCTGGATCGCCATTATTAGAAAAATCATTGTTAAACTCCAAAATATAATTAGGCCCGTGCCACCATAAATGTTTATCCATTATCTCGGAAACAGATATACCTCTAGATGTACAATCCGCAGGGTTTTCTTTAGACCCAACGTGATTCCAAGTGAAAGTTGAAGTAAGCTCTTGCATTTCTACAATCCTATTTGCCACAAAAGTAGTCCACCTGTTTGGAGTACCTCTGAGCCAACAAAGAACAGTAGTGGAATCTGTCCACAAAAACTCCTTGCCTATTTTCAATTTGAGAGCTGGAACAACACGATGAACCAATCTAGAGAGAAGCAAAGCGCCACATAGCTCAAGTCTTGGCAAGCTCACAGTTTTAATGGGAGCTATGCGGGACTTTGAACAAAGAAGATTTGAAGACACTGATTTATCTTCATAAATTGCTCTGATATAGATACATGCCCCATATGCTACCATAGATGCATCTGAAAACCCGTGAATTTGAATCTCAATGATGTCCTTAGACTCAAAAACCCATCTTGATATTTTCAAGTGGCTTAAATCACTTAATTTACTTGAAAAGGTTTTACAATTTTTCTTAAGATCCGTTGGAAGTTCATCATCCCAACAAAGTTTGCTCACCCAAATTCGCTGCATTAGTAATTTTGCACAAACTACTACAGGACTCACACAGCCTAACGGATCAAACATTTGAGAAATCTTCGACAAAACAAGTCGCTTAGTTATCTTCTCAAAAGATGTTTTAATATTTGGCAAACGAATTTTAAATTTATCCTGACCTGGTTGCCACACAATACCCAACACTTTTCCATCCTCCGAGTTGAAATGCAATTATTTGCCATAATGGTTACCCTCGCCTGAATCTAAAATAGATAGATCATTTGATAACCACTTATGCAACGAAAATGCTCCTGACCACAAGATTCCAGTCAATTGAGCTTTCAAGTCAATAACCATATTCTTTGAATTTGCACCACAGAGTATATCATCAACATAACAATTATTTAAAATAGCATTTGCTGCTAGTGGATAATTTGAACTTTCATCCATAGCCAATTGATTTAGACATCGAGTAGCCAAAAATGGTGCAGCCTTAGTCCCATATGTAATTTTTCATAAAATATTTTGAAGAAATAATTGTTTTGGATTAATTTTAATCATTCTGTACATTTTTATTATATCGGAAACTAGCACAAATTTGAAAGTGCGGAATCTTAGCAGTATGTCGAACAATTCTGGCTGAACAGTAGAACGTTTTAACATAATGTCGTTTAAAGATAATCCAGTTGAAGTTTTACTTGAAGCGTCAAATACAACGCGCAGTTTTGTAGAAATCGCATCCTTTTTAATTACACAAGGATGCGCCAAGAACACCCTTTTTTGAATCTCCTCCGAATTACACTCAACATGTTTTCCATGATTAAGCTCAATGTACTCATCCATAAAGCTTTTGTAGTCGCTAAATAATGCAGGATTGTTTTTTTTTTTTAATTATTTTTATTTAAACTTTTGCACATCATTCAAGAATGAATGAGTATCAATTATTGCTGAAAACAAGTCAATAAAAGCTTGCCAATCTTCGACTTTACCGGAAAACGTGGGAATATTTACACTTGGCAACCTCGCATTACTCAGCGGCATTGCCGAAGCTGACTCCAAATGAGTAGAAACATGTATTGGAAATTTAATTAGAGATTGGATCATTTGCCTAATTTTCGCTTTGATTTTAGATAATAAAGAGAAGTATTTAGTCTCCACCTCATCTCTATCTGTCTGTTCGCTCTCGTCCATTAATTCTATATTATCTTGAATTTTGCAATAATTTTCGTAAGCTTTTTCTAAAAATACTTCCCTAGTTTCATATTCGCTAACATCAATGTTTGGTACAACTTGATTATTCGAAACAAACGTGTTTACTCTCGTTATAGAGCTTTTAACAATCGATCTCTGTTTCTTGAGAGTTTCCATCATAAGACCTTAACAGAATTTTCCCACCAGAATACAATTAAAATACTTTAATCTACTTTTTATAGTTCACTGAAAATGATTAATGACCCCAATTAATGTCACTATTTCCTTGGCAATTTGTGTCAATGAATTTCAACATCAAATGTATCTGCTTTCTAGCCCCAATGTATTGAAAGATCTGACCTTAGGCTTCGTCGATCTGCTGATGCTTTCCAACACGTTCTTTCAGCAACCCATATCCATTATTCCAAAGATCCAGACACCATATTGCTGAATATCCGGCTCCCAAGGACCAAATGTCAATGAATGTTTAAGTGGACTGTATTTTTGTATTATTTTCTTCTTCGTGCGCGTCCCTACTGAGATGGCAGTCCCAACACCGACTTAAGTATATCAATGCACCCAACCGACGAATTAAAACCCGATAGTAGGCAAAATTAAAATATATATTGCTTAGAACGTTATTTCTACCCACGTCTTGTTTGTTTTTCTTTTTCAATTCCCTTAGTTACTAGAAACAAATACAACTTAAAATAAAAAACTAATTGTCACATCGCCCCCAAGACTAACTTATGTGGTTGGCAGGAGAGACAAATAGATCTTATTTACTCATTTCCCAACAGTGGTCACAAGCACTATGTGTAAAATGCACGGAAAAATGCTGCCAAATAGGATAGAAAATCAATACAAAGAAATTAAGAAGTAAAAGAAGCAGCTGGATTTCATGCGGGTAGATCAATCGTAGACCATGTATTCACTCTAACGCAAGTTATAGAGAAACATATGGCACGCAACCAACAAATCCATCTCTCATTCGTAGACTTGAAAAAAGTTTACAATATTAGATAAAACGAATATAAATGTAAATCTAATTAAAACCATCAACAGTTTCTACAAAAAACCTGCAATGAAGATAAAGTCATGAAGACAATTAACACCCGTCTCTTAGGATTAAAAGGATTGAAGTAAGGGTGCTGTACCTCGCCCAGCTTGTTCAAAATATACCAAGAGAGAATCTTAAGTAAGTGGAAATTCTTGAGGGAACCTTGGGTATGGATCTTCATACCAAGGAAAATACTATGGGCATACCAATCACAGACACGACCCTGTGTACTCTATCATTTGCCGATGGTCAAGCGCTAATAGCGCAAGACTACGATTTCAGCTGTATGAGCCCGAAAGCTAATGGAAGAATATCAACAGGGGTCTGCAAATAAACACACAGAAAACAGCGTACCTGGTATATGGAAGGCGGAGTTATCATCAAACAAACAAAAGAATATCGGTAACTGGGAGTTGAAATCACCGACGACGGGGTTTTTGATACCGAAATCAAACACCGAATACGCCAAAGCAGAAAGCCCATCGCACTTTTAAGTGCACTACTTTGGGTCAGAAGCCTCACCAAAGAAAACCAAAGACTCATTTATAATGCGATTGTTAAAAGCATACCCACCGTCGGCTCCGAGATGTGGCTATTGAAAGAAGCCAAGGAAAAAATCCTAAAAGCAACCGAAATAGATTCTTGGTGTCGAGCGGCAGGAATATCGAGCAGAGAATGCATAACAAACGAGGTAGTGAGAGAAATTCTGAGAATAACGCATAACAAACGAGGCAGTGAGAGAAATGCTGAGAATAACGCATTCTATAACAGATAACATAAAAACCAAACAACTAATGGACACATACAAATAATGTAAGAACACCGAATGCCGAAGCAAGTGACGAACTGACAGCCAAGAGGACAAAGACGACCCGGAAGACCGAGAAAGAACTGAAGCGAAGGTATCAACAGGGAACTTAGAGACAGAGAGCTTGCAAATTGGAAGATGTCATAGAACGTGATAAACCGATTTAGAGATAGACAGATAATAATCTATCTATCTATATGGGCTAATAAGCCCATAGATCTTCAAAAAATAACTTAAAAAATAGAGATCCAGAGGTTCCATATCATACCATACCATTTTCTAACAGAATGGTGCACGGATTTTAATGCTCGGAGCCTAAATTTGTCCACATCGCTGGATAGGTCGACGTGGTAAAGGAAACGTTGTATTAAAATAGAGCGGAACTCATTAGACCTTAAACATAGAATACAAAGAGTACATAATGCAGTCGATAATAAATATTTATGCTAGACTTGCAACATCTTGTGTAAAAGGTAGAAGTCATTTTTAATATTTACTCCACTGAATTTAATTTGCTAAGTGGTAATTATCTACTCAGAATAACTCATTTGAAAATGATATTGTCCTCATATTGAAAATTATGAGACCTTGTTTTATCTAATTTTAAAATAGCGTTTTTTAGACCTTTTCAAGTTTTTATCTGTTCACCCATATGACGTAAGTTGCCATTTGAAAAAAGTCAGGAGAGCTGGGGTGTAAGTAAGGAAGAAATGTTATGCACTAAATGTTGAAGAGTAATTTAGTTACGTGTTTTATTTTTATCAAAAATGCTTCATTAAAAAGTTATCAATTTTATGGGGAACCTTTTAATAATTCTGTATACTAGTGTACAGGGTGATGCAAAATTTGTTATTAATTTGATATAAAAAAAGTTCTCTTCTACAATTTTTGATGAAAAATCAAAGCGGCAATGATGTTTTTCTGTCATCAACACATGGTGGATGGTTGGAAAAGTGGATAGCCGTTGTCAATAATAACAATAATTTGTCAAACTGTGGCTTACTTTGAATTTCCTTTCACGAATTTGAGGATATGCGATTAGTTCAGGGGAAATGCTACAGTAACATAGCAGAAGCTGAAAGAATTCACGCCAACAAAGGCCGAGGAGAGTGGTTCTAGGACGATAATGGACGACAATTGATGTTCGGATTCCAGACACAGAGGAACAAGTATTGGACATAATTGCAGCAGAGCCTTCCAGGGGCATTCAGAACATTGCACAACCACTGATACTTGCCCAGGCACCAAATAAATACCAGCTACATCCCTATTACGAATGTAAGATACACATTAAACCAATGTATTACTGAACACCGGTATAAATTGAGCTGGAGTTAACTAACCGAATACGAGAAGCTGCTTGAGAAGAGTGCATCATAAGGTGATTAGACAGGCACTTGTTTATAGTTACAGACTGATATGTATGTTTTTGTATTTTGTAAACCAATTAATAATTCGAGGTTATGAGTTCCGAAATCAGTTCTGTCGTTCTTGTTGATTCTTGTTGATTCTTGTTGTTGATTAATGTTGATTAGGCAGATTAACTTGAAAAACATTGTTGCCGTTTTTATAATTGAGTTTTTTGCAAAGTTCTCAGTTTCTAATAACAATTAATTTTTTTTACTATTTTTTCTGTACTCCTAAATCACCGCCAGACAGCAGCTCCAGAGGAATGACGCCAGTTTTGAATCACCCTGTATACGTTTTCAGATAAATTTTTGAGGCGTTATTATATTGTACTCTCATAAAACTGCCAGTTCAAGCAACAACAGGTGATATTATTACAAATTGTGTACTTAATGTTTTAGCGATCGGGAGGAGAATCAGTAAATACTCGTTCTCCCATACACCACGTGATACCGACTGATCCGACGCTTATCGAAATTATTCCTTTAAATCCGTATGCGACAATTCCGCTGAAAACGCGCAGATCTTCATCCTGGTCAGCAATTGCTAATTACTGTTTCCATAGGAAAAGCACTCCACAAGAAGTTCTTGTCAATAATAACGTTCAGAGACCAAGTATAACAGCGCATAGTAAGTGATAATAAAAAATTTGTGAATTTTTCAATAACATTGATTAATAAATCTGGAAGCTATTGATACGCATGTGATTTCGTGCTCAATTATTTTGTTTGTGTTTTCCAGGTCGCACTTACAGGAAAAGGAAAAAAAGAACCCCAAGATTTAATTCCGTTTCGAAAATCGACCAAGTCTCCCGAGTAGTATTTCCAATATTTTTTGTAACCATAAACTTATTTTATTGGTATTCTTACCTGTTAAGGACTAACAGAATACAAAATGTTGGTTATTCATAAGATAAAATTGTATATGCTTAGAATTTCAAAACTTAGGACTTTCGTGTTTTTATAAATCATTTAATTATTAGTAATATATGTTAATAGGTTTAGATAAAATCAGTTTTATTAGCTATATTTGTATTGCATTTATGTGCATATTTCAAGACGAAAACATTTCGGCAAAAATATAATTAAATCGGTGAGTTTGAAAACGCTACAAGTCCAAAATTCTACATTTAAAAGTAGAATAGCCATGTTGTTTTAAATATGTTCCCGAATTGACCGCGGAAACGACACCACAAAACATTCTTAGTAGATACGTAAATTGTGGTGTTTACATTAACTGGCAACTGGCACGGTAACGTAGGGCTCGGAATTAAACTCGAATAATTCGAGTATTCGAATATTCAAAAAGCGAATAATTATCAACAGCAAGTCATAACTCAAATATTCGAATACTCAAATATTCGAATACAAACTCACAAGGTGCAAATATCTTTATCTGCAGTTTGTATACTTTTATAAAATAAATTATTAATATTCTACAAGCATTGAAACAAATACCCATATAATTACAAGCAAATGAAAATAATAATTTACCCTCCTGCAAAGGAATATAAAATTACGTCTCTGTGTTCTAGTAATTCGAGTCATCAACTTTTGCGCGGTGTTACTACAATTAATGTGCCGACATAGTCACTTTTTTTATCCGTTGCGGCTAATTGCCAAAAATGATATGAGATAACGATTTTTCTTCTTGTAAACGATGAACGGAAAACAAATACTCGAATACTCGAATATTCGAATACTCGATTATTCGAATATTCGTTACGTATTCGAGTATTCGAATCAACTACTAAACAAGTATTCGATTTTCATATTTTTAAAAATTTCGAGCCCTACGGTAACGACACGTACAGACAAAACATTCTTGGCAAGAAGAATAATGCCTACACTCTAAGCAGAATGTACAGCTGCATATGAAAAATAAATCTGGTTTTTAGACGTTACTATTATTTTTATTTTATAAAAGTTTAGAGCTAGAGCAATTAAAATTATGAAAATCCCAAGTCTGAAAAACCAGGAATAATTATATAATTGTAAAGTTCTGTTTAATGTAAAATTTAGTTTTAGGTTTGTTATAACCAAATATATTATTAGAAGCAACAATACAAACAACCCGTCGATGCCGGTTACTTGTTTTCTATGATTCCCCCTGATTCACACTATCAGACACCCAACGGACCGGCAACGACACGACAATTAAAAATCACTTCCATGTTTTTAAAACAAATTTTATTTCGATTGATATAGATTGCAGCTTTAAGATACAACTGCCAGTTATTAGAGGCTTGTTAGAATATATATTAATTAAATGCTTATGAGTTTACATGCTCTCTGTGAAGAAAGTATAACTGGATATTTCTTTATGCTAAGTTAGCGAACTGGGATATCATGAATTGTTAGGTTGGCTAAATCCGATATCATAACTCTTTCATAACCCCCGTTAAAAGATGTTTGTATACTTATTAAATAATGTTTTACAATTGTGCCGGTATTGCAAACGCACACCACTAATTTTTTAGAACAGTCCCCATCAGAAGGGCTCCCAATACCAGCCAAAAACGAATTTATCGATCGAGGACGATCCCCACCAGAAGGGCTGCCTCCAGCAGGCAAGGTGAAAAAAGGGTATATAAAGCCATGCACATGCCAATTTCGAGATCTCATTACACCCATCGCAGCAGCATACTAGTCACAGACATCCAACACACGATCGCACACTGAGTCGTCCATTCAGTTCAATCGAGTCGGAGTACAGGTTGCAGAAACGCAACCGAATATTGACAATACACTCATTAGAGTTTGAACTGCACCATCGTGTGCGTTCGGCAAGGCTCCGGAAAAGCCTCTTGCGAAAGTTCCTGAAGTGCCACTGAACACTGAAAGTGAGAAGTGCACGAAGGCCGAAGATTTCGGTAAGTGCCTCTGCACTTAATGGTATTCCAAAATCCGATGTTCACTATCACATGAAATCCTCTCCAAACTCCACCCGCGCCCTGAATTCTCTCCGCAAGGAAAACCAAGCCCTGAGGAAAACCCAAAACAAAAAGCTCAGCGACAAGCTGGAGGAAATCCTCAACCACTTTAAAATACATATGTCCCAATGTCACTCAAAAAGCCTAGAAATTCCCCAATCTGCCCCTTAAAAACCTCCCAAATCCAATCCTGAACCTGAAACCGTACATATGGAAATTGATTCCAACTTCCCCTCCTCTAAAACCAATCGCAACGCCTTGGAACCTTCCGAAAACGACCAACAAAGCGCTCCACAATCACCTAAGGGCTGAAGAGTCCAAAACCCAAACCCCGCAAGCCTCAACTACTCAAGCCTCCCTCACACAACCCCCCCAATCCAAAACTCCCAACACTAAAGCCAGTACCGTCCCCATAACCTTAAAAAATCCCGCAGACTGGACCAAAACCCAAAATTTTTTACTAAAACACAATCTAACAGTCACCAACACCAAAAAACATAACTCAGGAATTTCCTTTTCTCCGAATTCCTCAAATGATCACCACCAAATAACCAGAATTCTGAAATCCAACAAGATAGAGTACTACACCTTCACTCTCCAGGAGGACAGGAAACTGTCCTTCATCATCAAGGGCCTCGACTCTCATATGGAGATCGAGGAAATCCATAATGAAATCGAAGCCCTGGGTTTCAATGCGGAACAGACCCATTTTTACCGGCTTGGAAACTATAAAAAAGTTTTCAATATGGTAAAAGTCCTTTTACCACAATCCCAAGCAAACTTCCAGAAAGTCAAGCACCTCCTAAACCTCCCGGTAATAAAAAATTGCCAGAAACCCATTTTCCACAAATGTGCCGAGCCGCACTCCTATAAGGAGTGTCAGAAATCCGGCGACCGTCCTGCCAAATGCAGCAACTGTGGAGGGCCTCACCCTGCAAATTATTTCCCTTGCCCCAAAAACCCTAACTTCACCCTACAAACAGAGGCAAAGCAGAAGCAAACCCTGTTTAACAAGAAAGTCCAACCAGGCACATCCTTCGCTGCGAAAACAGCCAACTTCCCTAACTCTGCCACAACCCCCAAACCCGCTAACCCAATCCAGGCCCTAAAGCCAACCCCTGTAACCACGGCCGTCACAGAAACGCCCACAGCCCCTAAATCCCCGCCAACGCCACCAACTTAGCACTCACCCCTGAACCCACAAATCCTGCAACTCCTGCTCCTTTCCGACGAGGAAATCGAGGCTAAAATTGGTAAAATTGCGGCCGCAATTTCCCGAAACCCCATCCTCAAAATGCTATGTTAAAAAGTAGCATTAATCCCCCAGGTGTCCATATCGTTTCATGGAATGCCGCATCTTTGTATCCTAAAAAGTGCGAGTTTGAGGCATACTTGAGAGAACACGATGTAGACATCGCGCTCATCCAAGAAACATTCCTACGTCCTCAATCCCCATTCTATATATGCAAAACTCCACAATCCAACTAATCTCTGCCTACAAACCTCCCAAAAAAATCACAGCTCCTGCTGATTATGAAACCTTCTTTAACCCTAAACTAACCACACTCCTGGCTGGGGATCTTAATAGCAAACATGTTATGTGGGGCTGAAAAAACTCCAACAGCGAAGAAATCAAACTCCTAAAACTATCCGAAGACCTAGACCTCCAAATCCACGCCCCCGATGAACCCACACACTTTCACTATCGAAATGCTGATATCCTGGATATTCCTGGAAATTTCAAACTCTGACTTTCAGCTTTTTTTTTCAGCAGCTACTGACCACAACCCAATTAGAATCCTACTTAACGAAAATTTCATATACAAACCTCTCCAACAACTACGCTACAAAGACCGGGACGCCCTTACACACTACTTAAACGAAATTAAGATCCCAGAGTCCCCAATAACAAGCGCCCTTGAACTCAACTCTCTTAATACCACCCTTACCAAAAAAATCAATGAGGCTATGCAAAAAGCAACAAGTTTGGAAAAGAACTCTAACAAAACCCCTTCGGCCTACCGCTTGAAATTAAAACCAAAATAAAGCTACGAAATCGCCTTAAGCGACTAGCAAACCAACTAACAAACCAAATTAAAAAACTAATTTCAGAAATTAAAAATTCAAACGGGCAAAATTATCTGGAAAGCTTGGAGCCTGAAAGTTCAAGGGAAATCCCACACTAACTTTCCCTCCATTAATGGACACAATGAGCTGGTCTACAGCGACAAGGAAAATGCGGAAGCTTTCGCCGACTCGCTGGAAAGCCAGTTCAAAGTTGACTATTCCCTAGGTGATCACCTGGACTTCGACGAAGAAGTCAAAGATCATTACCGTTTCCTAAATACAAAGACACTAACAGGAACAGAGGAAACAATCGCCCCCGTCACTATGGACGAACTGAAGACACAAATAAAAGTTTTGAAACCCAAAACAGCTCCAGGCATAGGCAAAATTTCAAATGGGGTGATTTAAATGCTCCCCGAAACTATCCTATTAACACTATTAACACTAATTAATAGTGCCTTTGCACTTAGATAATTTCCGAACAGCTGCAAAACAGCTGTAGTAGTTCTTATCCCAAAACCCAATAAAAACAAATCCGCTCCACAAAACTGGCACCCAATTAGTCTTCTACCAACCTTCTCTAAACTTACACAGAATTTTTTTAAAGAAAGACTCTTAAACAAATTCTCCAATAGCAATGGAATCCGTTACGAGCAAATGTTTTTCATGAGAAATCACGATTCCGAAATGCAAGTTGCCAGACTTGTTGAGGACGCCAAACTAGCACTCCAGGGAAAGCCTCCACAGGGGTTATTCTTTATTCTCCTGGACATAGAAAAAGCGTTTGACAAGGTCTGGCATGAAAGGCTAATCTCTAAACTGGACAGCTTCTGCAAACTGCCAATTGCTTTGTGCAGTTTGTTGCAGGCTTTCAACAACGTACTATCCTCCCCAAGAATCGCGGAAGCACTAGTTCCGCAATGATCCCCCCTTTCCCCAATTCTTTACAACATTTTTACGGCCGATATCCCCAAAGATCCCGTTGCAAAAGTCGCAATGTACGCAGAAGACACTTGCCTATACTACACTTACAGGAACCTCAATTACATACATGCAAAAGTACAAAGAACCCTTAACAAACTAACAAACTGGACAAACACTTGGAAAATTTAAATCAACCCAGAGAAGACACAAGCATTAATGATAACCACCAAAAAAAAAAGACCAACAAACTCAAAAATATTTCTCTTAACAACAAAGACATAGCCTGGTCCAACCACATAAAATATCCAGGTATTACTATTGACAAAAAACTAGCGTTCACCCAACACATCAGTGACAAAATTGCCAAAGCAAGAGCGGGAAGAGCAGCGCTTTATCCTCACTCAAAAACAAGCTCCTAATTTACAAACAAATTTTCAGACCTCAAATCCTATATGGTGCCTCAGCCGTTATCCAAACTAACAAAACAAACATTTCAAAAATCCAAACTTTCCAAAGCAAAACCCTCAGATACTTTTCCAAGGCCCTCTGGTACGTTCGCAATCGGGACATCCTCAATGATGTCAAAACTGACACGATCCAAGAATTCCTTTCCAAAAAACACACAAAATTCAAATCCAAAGTCCTTAATCACCCAAACCCAGTAGTGAAATCCACTTTCTCTACTAACTGCGTCGAACCCATTCAGGGCCCATAAGTGCATCATGGCCCCCTGGGAAAACTAACTCGAATCGAAAAATCGAAAATATTGATTGCAAAGTATCGATATCTCAAAATATCGAATGAGTAATCAGGAAATATCAATTGATACCGATACCGATACTTGTGGGGGACTATGCGGGGGAGAGTTATTTAAAACTCCGGTAACCATGGAATTATACAGAGTGAGATTATACAAGATAGACAAGGATAAACGGTAAATTCAACAAGATTTGTTGACCGCGGAACGTACTTTCGAAATGTCAACCTGTTATCATAACCTCGAATTGGGCAACCAAATAAGCTAGTGCCTGTGTAATATCCTTATTATCCACTCTTATCAAGCAGCTTCTCGTAATTAGTTAATTAACTAATGCTCCATTTGTATCTCCTTGTGCTGTGTGTATCGTAGAAACGTGGTAGGAATGTAGC